TCTGCATTGGGAATGTTGCCAGGAGCTTCTGAACACACAGCTGGGGGGCGTGCATGCTCTGAAAGCCTGATCCTGTTAACACGGCTGCTGGCCAGAACTTGGACCAAATACAAATCACAAGTTTCCAGATGTCACCAAGAGACCTGGAGGGAGATAGGAGAGTCTCTGACTTGATCTAGCTCGTGTAATCACTCAGGACACAGACAACTGAAGGTAGTAAGGATGTGTGTGTGTGGGTGTGGGTGTGTATGTGTGTGGGTGGTGTGTTTCTTGTCGCTTACGGTTACACACGTAGTGGTCTAGTGGCCTGCAGCTCTGTTTCCTGTGTTCCCTGCTCTCTGTAAACAGGAACTAGATCTCTGTCTTTCTGTCTTTTACTCTGTCCTTTCATCTATCCTCTGTATGTCCTTTGTTCCCTAATTCTTCCACTTCCTCTGCTGCCTCCATTTTCTTCTGCATATTGCAAATTTGCAGACCCACAAGCACACAGTAAATGTTTTACCATGCAAAGTAGGACTGCACGGTATTAGAAAAGCATGCCGATTATTGCTGACTACTGCAATGACTGTATCGGTTGTGATAAAACTCACATTTTCCTCCCTTTTCTGTTTCTCTTCTGTCATGATAACACTCTGCACTTTAGCATCTCAACTACTCTAATCTAAATTCTGTGTGGGCAGCGAGAGCAGTGAAGGTCTGTCTAGGTGTGTGTGCGTGTGCGCGAGTTTGTGTGTATATTATGTCTGGCTTCAAGTCAATGGGTAATTTGGTTTCTTCTCTTTGAAAAAAACAGCTCCAATCCAGTTGATCAATTATTAATTTGATCTGATCAGTGATCTGTTGGTGAAAACATTTGATAATCAGACTATATACACATTAATCAACTGCAGATACTTTGTATTGTTTGAGTTTAATAAAAAAAAAAAAAAAAACGAGAACTCGGTAGATAAATGCAAATTTATTTGATGATTTTTATGATGACATTTGACTAAATGCAATGTTTGTTGCTTGTTTCATAATATGTCACTGTACTATGTTTTTATTGCATAAAGTACTTTGAACTGCCGGGTTGCTATGCAAATGGACTTGACTTAATAAATCAATATCAGCCGGTTAGAGCTCGAAGAAACCTGAAATCGGTATCGGTCAGGAGTTGCTTCTTGTTGCATCCCCACTTTAATCCTTACAAGAGCTGGTAACACTTTATTTGAAGGGGGTTGAATAAGACTGTCATGACACTTTCATAAACATGACATAACACCTGTCATGAACATGAATAAGCCTTCATGAATATTTATGACTGTTGTCATAAAGCGTCATTCGGTAAATTATGACACTTTTAATACAAAGTTGACATTATTCCAAATGTCTTTGTTATGACAACTTGACATTAACCAAGAAATCATTACTGTTTAAACTTTACCTTTAATAACATAAAGTTACCTAATTTTTAAAGTGCAATCAGTAATACTTTTATAACAAATTCATATCAGTAATGATTTCTTGGTTAATGTCAAGTTGTCATAACAAAGGCATTTTGAATAATGTCAACTTTGTATTAAAAGTGTCATAATTTACTGAATGACGCTTTATGACAACAGTCATAAATATTCATGAAGGCTTATTCATGTTCATAACAGGTGTTTATGACAGTGTCATGTCAGTCTTATTCACCCCCCTTCAAATAAAGTGTTACCCAAGAGTTTAAGACTGAAGTTACACATGCATGAAATAGTAGTGAGGTGATGCTTTTTGTCTTGTTATGTTACCCCATCTCCAGATATATTTTTACCTCTGTTCAAATGTGTGAGACCGTATCATATGAGAACGCCAGTCTCATGTGATGCATATAAATATGTATCACATGAAAGTCAGTCAATTGGTCACATGAGCCAACCGTGTCCAGAAACAGTTGGTGAGTAATATCCTGCCAGGTCAGATGGGATTTTGCTAAATGCTTTTATGTGGCTGAGTATTGTTTGCAAAGTAGAAACTACCCTCTGGCTAGCTCATAAAAGTGTTTGCTTTGCTTTTAAAGGGTTTTCTAAACCCCAACCTGCCTTGCTTGCATCTTTTTAAAAACAAAAGTCTATTATGGAGTGTCCATTGAGACACAAGCAGCTGCTTCATGTGTGTTTTCTATACACTCTATTCCTGGTATTCCTGTTTTTCTACTCGGGCTTCCCCTGGAAATCTGTCAGAAATGGTGAGCTATGACTGCAGTTGCCTGTAATAGTGTTGTTGCCTTTCCTCCAATGTCTGTTTTGCATGAATTTCACTTGTGTGTGTGTGCGTGCGTGCGTGCGTGTGTGTGTGTGTGTAGTGCTATAGCCTCTGCATCACCTTCCTTTACTCCAGAACTGTAGGCCGGAGGATTTTTTTCAGAGCAGGAGGTTGACTGAAAGAGAAGAGGAACCAGTTGGACCAAGGTTGGCGCAGCGCTGTTTGTTGTTGCGAATACAAAAGATGTCATCTTTGGACTCCCTCTGTTACAACATAAGCTACAAACAGAGTCGCATAACACGTACAGAGATCCTGGCTGGGAACCAAACACTCACACGTTGCAAGCGGTTCATTGCTCAGAGAATGTAAAGCTTTAATATATCTCCCCTGTGGCTTTTTCTGTGAAACAGTTTGGATAAAGCCTTGGACTCGACTGATTGCTCAGAGGGTTCGCCCTGAGCTCGGCGAATTGGGAAAGATTAATTTGCCTACTTGTTTGGGTTTAGTTCTGCCCACGCTACTTTTCAGACGGTCCAGAACAAAGTCTTCTAACTGTGTTCAGACTCAGGCAGGCCTTGTAGCACCTCTGTATTTACAAGGCAGTTTTATTTTTGAAGGTGCTAGTAATAAAGCGTGCTTAAATTATTGTCCAGGGTGGTTATGTGTTTTTTTTTGTTTTTTGTTTTTTTGTTTTTTGCTTAAAGAAAGGAATGATTTTCTTTTTCATTTGTCTGCCAGTGAACCCCTCCTTATTACTGCATTTGTTTTTCTGCCTCAGTCACTGGCCTCTTGGATTCATGACAGGAACTACGTGGACCCAGAGTGAATGAAAAGAGGGCTGAGAAGAAGAGGAGACTGTTGGACTTTTGGATTATTAACAGGGACCGTTACGTAAAACCGAGATTGAAGGAACAGTAGGAGGTGGTTAGAGCCACCCTCTTGATTTACATGTGTTCGTTCTTAGTGTATAGCTGAACAACTGTGAAGTGAGGATGTTAAAAAAGTGTAGTACTTAGAAATAAAGACCGAAAGAGATCATTTTAGTCCAATAATGTTTTGTGTTTAAATGTGATTTTTATTTATACTGTATCTATATCTCATGATCTTATGGAGCTATTGTTCATGAGCTTGTCCATTGTTTTGTCTGAGTCAGTAGTTTAAGTGGAAGGCCAGGTTTTCAAACTGTGTGTGTCGTAGTATTTTGGATGCTTGTTAGAAAAAGTTAAAGTGACTGAGAAAATTTTGCGGTGTGACAATAAAGTTAGTATCCAATCTGAAGCTTCTGATTGGTGCTTTAGTACAGGAGTGGAAGTACATAATATATTGCAACTGACTGCTTGGATGCAGTATAGGGTAATATTTCATGTATGATGCATCTGTGATTGGAAATTTATGCCTTTGCCGCGCTGCTGGATAGAAACTTAATTAAAACACAGGCGGAAAAACGTCTTTTATTATTAAGAATGAATTTAATTTAAAGTTTCATTTCCTTAACGGTAGCTTAAGCAAAGAGCTGTGGAACCATATGTGTTTCTTCTTGTCTGCTCTTCTTAGTCTTTGTGCCTGTGGTGACATTTCACACTCCTACAGCATGAGATGAGTTAGAAATGAGGACAGGAAGAGGTTTACAGTGCAGACAAAGCAAAGACACAGATGATTTGCCATTCGCGCTGCGGTGTTGGGTATGGCTCTGTAGGTTTACTTTGTCTGTCTTGGGAATTTCAAGAGCATCTCCAGAAGCCTTTTACTCGTTTTTCTTCCAATTTGCAGATGGATTACGTTTCGCTGTGTTTTCGTGAAGGTTTCCGCAGAAAGTAGAGGGTTGGAAAGAAAGACGGCTTTAGAAGCATGATTGAGAAAAAGACAAAGTTAGATAAGGAGTGATGAGTCACCCAGGATGAAAGAGACCGACACCTTCGGTGGTCAGAATCCTTCATGTACTGATGCAAACCTGCACTGCAGCACATCCTTCTAACCTCCACTATTGCAGGAGTGTGTAGGCTGGCAGAAAGAGATTTATGCTATGGCTGCTCTTGCAACACAAAGCTAATACACTCTTACTGTACGCAGACAGGCAGCATGAAGTCCCAGTGGACCAGGATGAAGACTTGGCTTTAAAGTAGGCCAGAGGCCAGAATTAAGGGTACAGAGATGCGCACACACACATAAACCCATGCTGAGTTATTCTCACTCTCATCTCATCTCGATGGATTTTACCAAAATAGCAGATTAATCCGGTGAAGTGAGCAGCTCTGGGAATTTATCAACAGTCTACCCATATTTCTGTCCACCACTACCTCCTTCTGACATTCAATGTGCATTTTTTTTCTTTTCCTTTTTAAGGCCGTCCAAATGTCTCCAGTTTGGTTTGACCTTTGGGTGGTTGTAGAACGATTTAGGATGATGCATTTTTGAGATGACCCTGAGTTTAATTGGCAATGTATGACTTTGCAAAGTCAGTATTTATACAGTTTTGAGTGAAAGATGATGGAGCAAAGTCTGAAGTGCTGATATATATGGAAACATTAAGACTAGTTTCACCATGAGTGAGTGAGTAAGTGTTAGGAGTGTGGTTTGGTGCACTGTATGTGTGAAACACTTTACACAGCGCCTCTTGCCATGAACTTAGTTACTATTTAAGAAATATTTCCTCCCTGTATGACTTAGAGATTACAAGAGTGTTGACATTTTTCCTTCCCAGCATATCTGCTATTTCCTAACATCCTCAGTGAAACAAATGTTTATTTTTCTGTCTGGCTCTCTTTTGTCTGTTTAAGGAGCATGTTTGAGTGACACGTAAAGGAGGAAGTGGGATCCCTGAGGCTCCGGCCCTCTCTGCCGGTGGAGCCCCCTGCACATCTGGCCAGAAGCCCTCGAGTCACTAGGACAGGTAGGAGTTTCACAACAACTGAACAATGGGATCAAACTCAAATTTCTCTACTGTGGCGTATACTTACAGGCTTTTTAAGCAGAAATTTGGGGTTGTATGCAGTGACAGGCTAAAAGTAATGATCAAAATTAAATTACTCAGAATTAGATAATGAGATAATTAGATAATCGTCTTGGTATTTTAGAGGATGTTTGCTCAAACACGTATATTAGGAAGGAAATTCTACAAACTTAATGAAATATTAGCTATTATTTTTGTGTTTTGTTATTTTTGTGCATACATAATAAAAGTCCCTGCAGTTAAAAACTGTAAAAAAAAAAAAATATATATATATATATATAT